ATTTCTCTTTTATTTTAACTAATATTTAATAACATCATTATAATCATTATTGTTGTTGTTTATTGTTCTAATCATCATTTACATATCTACAATAAATGTAAAAGAAAAATTAATATATTTATTTAGCACTTGACAATTTTCAAAAATCATGTGACTGTAAAATTTTTGATTCTCAAAATTGGCAGCATGGCACAGAAAGTTATGGGACTAAGTGACTTGCACTATATTAATACTTGTTTCCTTCCAAAACGAGCCTAGTCAATATATATTACTAATGGTAACAGGCAATTAATTATTGTGTATATTGTGTTTGTTCTCTTCTATGGTTGATTGTTATTTGGTTATTACTAATGGGTAACAGGTTATATAATAAATATTACGTAATATTAATAGTAGTAAATTGAGGGATCCTGTAAAATATTTGGTTAAGGACTCCGCGCGGGTGGGAAGAATCCCTATTAATAAAATATCCTTAAGCCCAAAACATTACTGATGTATACTAACAATTAATTAGAAACTTTGTGTCGATGCCGTTTGCGTGCATGTGCATCTTTATAAAATCGTGACCGTTTTGCCAGGACAATTGATGCTTGATTCTGACATTTCCGAAGACTCTGATTCTTGTGATTGATCGTGAAATATTATAAATGACAGAATATACAGCATAAAAAAAAAATAATAATATAACAACAATGTATCTCGATAACTTCATCGATCTTCCAGACCTTTAATGTAAATTGGTAAAATTTTATCACCACCAACATCTCTCCATCCATGGAAACGTTAATTCCGGCCCCTCCTGTATATATAGATTTTTATTCACCGGATCAGTCAACCAGCCAAGTTGTACGATTCTGGTGCAAAATAACCATTTTTGAATTTTGTAATCTAATACATCGAAATCCGACTTTTTGTAATATCCACAACGAAAACAAGAGAGAAGGGTTGACCTTTTTAGGTTCGACGTTGTTATAATCATATGTTTTATTATTAGTAAACGTAACAACGTCTGGAGCTTTTATTGTTCTTTCACCATTAACCTTAAAATCAAATACACATTGTGAAGTAGTTACAATACAATGTCGTTTTGATGTTCCAATTTCTAAGTTATCCTGGAATCTCTCTAACAACAGCTTCCATTTCAATAATTTGTTTTTGCTAAATTTAAAAAGGTCTATTGTTTTTTCGTCAGTTTCAACTTGAACTCTTCGATGTTATACTCGACTGAGGTTTAAGATTCATTCTCTGATTATATTTTGGGTCTGATTCATTTCGTCGACACCCATTTCGTCGAAAGTTTGTTTCGTCGAAAGTTTGTTTCATCGAAAGTTCATTTCGTCGAATGTTCATTTCGTCGAAAATTATTTCGTCACAAAAAAAAAACTTCATTAAACAAATTTCTCCTCACACTTCCCGCACACTCCGCTTTTCTCACCTAATTTCTTAACTAACTTCCCACATTCCTCACATCTAACTCGTTCGGTTTCTGGCTCGAGGATGAAATAATTTTCGACGAAATGAACATTCGATGAAACAAACTTTCGACGAAATGGGTGCCGACGAAATGATTGTCGACAAAATAATTTTCGACGAAGTAAACGCGACCGATTGAAAAGAGCCATCTTCTAGAAATACCTTTATATATATATATATGCATGTGTGTTAATTATACAATTACGATAAGATATTATTGATTTATCACACTTTGGTTGTTTATATTTATATTTATTCACCAATAAAATTCAGGGCAAAATAAACCCATAATGTACAAACTTGCAAAATAAGTTTATATATAAACTATAGAACGCCTTATGGTGTGACACTTATTAAAATTGGAACGATACAGAGAAGATTAGCATGGCCCCTGCACAAGGATGACACGTTCAATTTTGAGTGGATAGTTAGTACCTTTGGGTACAAAATTTTTTTATGTTAATTTAATTTTTATAATTTAAGTTTTTTTATTAAAGCCTAATAAATTGCACTAAAATTAATAATAGTACTTATCCAAGGAAAAAATTTTTTGGTTGAGCAGTATTTGCATTAATCCAATCTAAATGAGAAAGTAAAGGGTCTGATAATATTTTGGTCTCATGGGTAGAAATAGTAGCAATTGAAATTAATTTTGATAAATCTATTTCTTTATTAAATAATTCAAAGTTTTGCTACGAGTCAAAAACTGGTAACAAAGCTCCTTCCAAGTCTTGGTTTTGGTCAAATTTTCCAGACAATTTCCATTCTCAATTAATTATTCGTTCTGAGGGTTATTGTAAATCTCTTTAATTTTTCTTTCAATAAATTCAAGATTTTCATGATTGTACTGATTAAAATTAACTGGCCTAATTCTTGATTATATTCTTCCCCAGCTAATAAGTTAACCAAGAAAAACCTTTAACTTTGGAATCATTTTCACCTTTTTTTCTATCTCTTTTATTACATTTCTTAGTATTTTTTTTTACTATTTTTCTTTTTCAATAGTTCAATTATTCTATTCATCCTCACTCCTTTGTTTTTTCTTTTATTTATTTTTGATTTGGTTTCAATAAAAATCTTGTAAAAATTCAAGTTATTAATTGAATTAAGTCAAGTCCAAACAAAGCAAAAAGCAAATGATGTTGTCATTTTAGTTGAAAAGTGTGCTGAAAAGGTAAAATATTATTTTCTATTCACTGTTGTTTATTACCCTGAAATTCTTGTTGGTTAGTATGCTTAGCAGCATGAATGTGCTCATCAATAATTTTGTGTGATGCTTGCATTGTGTTATACCTCTAGAATAAAGTTGGTGTCTGCAATTGGTTCAAAATTCTCCAACTCAGGAGGTTACAACCTGGGTTGTTGTTTTGGATTTTCTCTGGATTCAGGGTTTTGAGTCCTGGGTTGCTGTCTTGTTGGTGGCACACCAATTCACCAACAACCCTACCCCCAATTTAAATAACAAGTTCAGTTGGTCAAACAAAAATTAAAGAAAACAGAGTATTTATGAAAATGATTAATTTATATGGAACATACCAAACAAAATCCAAAACATTTTATTTTGCAGCTTTCTCCTTGATGCCAATGATCATGGTGACTATCACAATAGGAGTGGACAAAATCAAAGTGCCACCTTTATACTTGTAAGATACATGCTCTCATTGAGCTACAATCCTTTAACCTAAGGTGGGAGGTTATATGGGCAAAAGTTCACATTTAAAAAACAACAAATTCAGTTGACAAATAAAAATTAAAGAGAAACAGAGAATTTGGGAAGATTAATTTATAACATACCAAAATCCGAACCATTTTATGACTTTTTCTTGTTGGCCATATTGCTGACAAAGATGTATATAATCATGTGATAATTTTAATCTATCCCCCTACTCAAAATTATTAAATTGGTTAGTATCAGAGAAACAGAGAATTTATGAAAATGGTTATACAAAACAAACACTATTTTACAACTTTCCTCTTAACATCAGAGTCCAAATGCAATTTCAGGGCCACAAACCCT